CGTGCGCCGGGAGGGGGCGGCGGGGGGAGCCGGGGGCGGGGGAGCAGCCGCAGCCTGCGCAGCTCCTCCGGTACCGGCACCGGCACCGGCACCGACACCGACACCGGGAGCGGCGGGCGGTGCTGGAGAGGGGCGGAAGGATGGGGGTGCACGGGCACCGGGGGACGCGCGGGCACCGGCGGCGCGGAGGGACCTCGGGATGCAGGAGGAGCTGTGGACCAGGGAGTGCTCGAGCGCTGGGGGGTGCAGGAGAACCGGGAGATGCACGGGGACCAGAGGGTGCAGCGGGAAGGACCCCGACGGAAGCAGGGGGCACACAGGGATCGGAGGGGCACAGCAGGCCTGGGGTGCAGCCGGATGGGGGGAGCAACATCCAGCAGCACAGAGGAAAAGGACTGGGGAGAAGAGGGGGTCTGGGGTGGTACGGACACTGGTGGCACACAGAGACAGGCCCCCCAGGGACCGGACCCCAGGAGGGCACAAGGGGGCTTATCCCCAGGCAGCATTAGCCCCAGCAGTGCCACCCTCCATGGCCCTCGGGGCCTCCCCGAGTTGCCTTCGTGCATCGCACCCTCACCCTCCTCACCCTCGCCCCGCGGGGCCCCCCCGGCCGGGCACTGGGCCCTCCCTGACACCCCAGATTTACAGCTTTGATTTCCCAGGGTTTAAGAGACATAAAAGGCGCAGGCTTGGCCCCGCTCGCCGCTGCCCTGCCCATGAGCCTTATTTATGGCAGCACCCCAAAGCGGGCCCGGGGGGAGGAGGAGGAGGAGGAGGGCTGGGGGCTTCGCTAACCTCCAGCCCTAATGGGGAACACATGGCAGGACCCCGGCGTGGAGAAGGGGGGGGTCTCTTGGTCCCAGCTCAGGATTGAGGGGGGGCTCCACACCCCGGGTTAGGGGCAGAGGGGTGCGGGTGGCCGGATCCCCTCGGGGGTGGCTGGGGGAGCTCAGCCCAGTGTCCCCCCCCCGGGAGCAGGGAGTGGGGCCTCTCCTCGCCCCGCTGATCTCCGCCAGCTTATTCATCTTGTTAATCAAACCAGGGCCGGCAGAAAATGTGCTCGGGCCGGGCTGGCGGGGCTGCCAGGTCCCCCCGCTCCCCCCTTCCCCTCCTGGAGCACGGCCAGCCCCTCGGCCTCGTGTCCGGCACCGGTGACTAATGGCCAAGTAAATGGGGTAGATTGGGGGCTGTCACCGTAAATCACGGCACGGCGCGGCCGCAGGTGAGGTTCCCATCGGCCGGGGCGGGGGGGGGGGGAGGTAGAACCGGAGCCCTGACCCCCGGCCAGGACCGGATCCCAGCGGACGGAGTGCGGGGAGCACCGCGCAGCCCCTGCGCATCGCTCCCACCGCACCTGCCCGCACCGCGCCGGGCGCCGGCCCCGCTCCATCCTCTCCGCCTGGACCGGCAGAGCCCTTTCCCAGGCAGTAACACTCCGGTTGGCAAATATTTGCTGCGCTCCCTCCTCCCCTCTCCAGAAACACTCGATCCCTTCGCGTTTATCACTATTGACCCACATTTTCCTTCCCGGAGCCTTTCGTGAAGCTCTCCCCACAGTCCCGCCGTGTCCCAGCCCCACAGAGCCCATCCCTCGTGCTCAAGCACCCCCTCGACATCAACCACATTTTTGCCCCCCTTTAGAGATCAGCGAACTCCGTCCCGGCCCTTTTTGAGCTTCCCAAAGCAAACAGAGGCGGGAAGGTGCGGCCGCCCGCAGCGAGGATGCTCTTGAGCACAAGGGCTGTGCTATGGGGGGTGGCAGGGAAGGGGTTAAGCGGGTTATAAATTACCCATGGATGTGGAAATGTGACTGAGAGGAATATAAAGCAAACTCTGACTGCTGGATTCTTTGCATTTCTAGCCTCTTTATTTTTCCCCCAGGTCACTTTAAAAGGATGCAGGCAGAGGCAGCTCCGCTGCGCCTCTCCTCCTGCCTTTTCTGGGGTTTGGGGGGGGGTTGCTGTTTGTTTTTTACACCCTGGCCCTTGAGCCAGATGCTGTCTCTGTCCAAGGACTTTATGGAGTGAGCTCTGGCTGGGAAATCAAGTAATTAGATTAATTCAGGGTAGATGTGCTGGGCCCAGCCGCAGTGACACATGATGGAGGGCTGGCAGGAAGGTGATGTCTGGTGCGAAGCCAGACTGAGGATGCTCAGCCCAGGTCTGGGGGTGTCACCAGGCCCACCCCGGGGGCCTGGATCTGTCTGGGGAGGGTCAAATCCCACCTGGGCATTGGGGGGAGCTCAGGGCTGTTTGGGAGCTTGGCCCCACGGCCAGGTCCTGCCCTGCAACAGGGCAAAGGCCCTGGGAATGGAGCCACGCCGGGGGGGGGGAGCCGGACCACGCCAGCCCCAAGGGACCCCCGCGCTGACGCTGACGGCACGGCCCGAGGGTCAGTGGGGGCCGGATCCTGCCCCAGCCGGTGCCTGCGGGCTGGTGGGCAGGAGGAGCGGCCCGTTAAAGGTCATTGTCAAAGGGCAGCGCTGACCGCATCTGCCGCTGCCCCGGGCGCTGACTCAGAGCCGGAGCGCGGCTCTGTCATCTCCGGCTGCTCCCGGCGCTGCCGTGGGGCCGGCTCCTGACCCCCGCATCTGGGGACCTCAGGCAGGGCAGGGCTGGATGTGTCCCCCCGTCCTGTCCCCCTCCCACAGCTTCGGGTCCTGATGGATGCTGCTGTGAGACGGGGAGGGCGACATCCTCGAGCCACGTCCCAGGTGACACCAGTGGGGACCGATGCTTCCTGCTCTTCTCAGCACCACAGTCCACCCATCTCCCCCCCGACCCTCCAGCACAGCCTCAAGCTACCTCCCGATGTTCCTCTGCTGGAGCTGGCCACGTCCTCTGTGCCAACGCCAGGGCGGGTGTCGCTCCTTGCCCCCTGGGAGCCCACCCCTCCCTGCTTCCCACTTCATCCTTGGCTCCAGGTGGAAGCGGAGGGGCTCGGCGGGGGGCAGGCGGGTGCAGCGGTGAAGGCAGCGCAGGTGGGCAGCCGGGGCTCCGCCATTCCCCCCCCCCGCAGCATCCAGGGCTGGCTCCCGGCCCGGGGTGGCTTCCCGAGGGGCCGCGGGCCGTGGGTCGGGACCGCGGGCGGCCTCGGCCCCCGGGGCTGCCGTGATTCAGCCTCCGGGCTGCGGCCGCTGCCGCCCCTCAGGCTGGGTGGCTCCGGAGCCTGACGTTTTTGGGAAATTTCAACAGAAACACTTCATAAGCTTCCAAAAAACAGGACGATGGGAAACAGCATTGTCCGGCCTCCCCCCACCGTGCTCCGCTTCCTAATCCCTGCCCTCCCAGCAGCCCCCGTGTCCCTGCATGGCTGCAGGGCTCAGCACCCCCCGGCGCAATGGGGCAGGGGCTCAGTCGTGGTGCCACCCATTTGGGTCACCCAGGTGTCCCCTGTGCTCTCCACCCTCTGCCCCCTGCACGGAGCGATGTCCCTGCTCTCGCAGCCATGGATTCAAGGCGCAGAGCTAGGGCAGGGAGCTCAGGGACAGGGAAAGCCACTGGACAATGGCCCCATGGACCAGAGTTGCCCTCAGAGTCCCCCACAAACCTCAGCCATGGCTGCGGTCCCACAGCCTCGGGGTTCCCATCCCTGTGCCAGCCTCAGGGTCAGGGCCACCACGTCCCTGCACGTCCCCTCTGTGGTGGGGGGAGCATGACCCAGGCACCCCCCAGCATGGGGTGCTCTCAGGGCCCCCCATCCCTCACCCCACAGCTCAGGGGACCCAGCTGAGGACAGCCCATGCGTGGGGGGACAAGTGGCCTTGCCACCACCAAGACCCAGGGCTCTGCCACTCACCCGGGGGGGGGCTGCAAAGCTCCGGTTGCCACCGGGTCCCGGGTGGGGGGACGGGGAGAGGCCCCGCGATGGGGAGTGATGCCCGAGGGGACACCTTTGCTGTGGTGCCAGCGGCACAACCAGCACTGGGTTGTTCAAGACCCCTGGGGACAAACCCAGCCCCAAGCCTGGGGCTTTCCCACTTTTTGGTGCTTTTTTTTTTGGGGGGGGGGGAGGGGTGTGGAACCAGAGGTGATGCTTCCATGGAAAACACTGGGATTTTCGGGCAGAAATCCCCGTTTTCACCCCAGAATAAGTAACAGGAGGGCTCTGGTCTCCTGAATGCGCTTTCCATGGGAGAAGCCCCGGGGGTCCGACCCCTGGAGCACGGGAGGGTCCGTGGGGGCCACGCGTGAGTCACCGGCCCCGGGGCGGCTCCTCCTCACCCACCGCGGGGCTCGGGGCAGCGGGACCCGGGGGGGGGGCAGCACCGCGGGGCAGAGCCGGGCGGGCGCCGGGGGTGGGCACCGGGGCCGGTACCGGAGCGGGACGGCGGAGCCCCGGGGCCGGTGCCTTTCTGCCCCCCCGGGGGCGGGCCCGTGCCGGGCGGGGCGGGGCCAGGGCGGCAGTTGGGGCTTGGGTAACCGGGGGTTGCTCAGACTTGCTCGGGACTTCCCCGGACGCGCCGGTGCGCTCCGCAGCCCCGGGCACCGACGGGCACCGGAGCCGGCCATGGCGCCGTTACCGCTGCTCCCGGTCCTGCTCCTGCTCTGCCCGCGCCTCCTCCGCGCCGACCCCCTCGCCTGTGAGTACCGGGAGCACCGGGCGGCTCCCGCAAGGTGGGCGCGGGGCGGGCGAGTCCCGGGGGTCCCGTCGGGGCCGGGGCGGGCGCTGCGCGGATCCCCCCACCGGGGCTCCCCCTGGTCAGAGCGGGGCCGGCCCGTGCCTTGTGCCCCCCTCCAGACCGCGGGGTGCGGAGGGGCCTCGGGAGCGGGGCGGGGGGGGGCATCGCCGGGCGCACCTCGGGGCTGAGCTTCGCCTCCCGTGGCCGGTAACGGGGACCCCCCCACAGACGGCAGCCGGGACCCCGCGGGACCCCCCTGCAGGCAGCAGGGACCCCCAGCCCTGCCCGGCCCCGCAGCCCAGCCGGGACCCCCCCCCCCTCCCCGCAGAGAACAATAGAGGAGCCTTTCTTGCTCCCCCCCATCCGTGGCAGCAGCGGG